GTGACCTCCTGTGCCATGAGTGGTTGGTTAGTTTCCTGTTTTTTCTTCAACAGTCCTTTAAAATATGTTATTTTGTTACTCTGTTGTCCTGAGTGCTAGAGATACTGCCAGTTTATCTCCAGTGAAAAATTGAAGTTTGTTTGCTTTTATTCTTCTTCTAAACTGTCCTATTTTAAAAGAAACTAGTAGTGTGAAGACTTTCCCTTCAGAGAAAAAGCTATTGATATGAGACATAACAAGCATACTTGATAAAAATACATGGTAGAATCCCTTTTCCTGTAGCTGAAGTTTATTCAGAGTAGGCACATTTCTGGAAACATTGTCTCTGTATAAGGATTTATTCAGGAATAATTTTCTTGAGTATCTCTGTATAGGCAGTGCTTATTCAAAGGCTTTTGCTTTAAGCTATTTATGTCATTCCAAACTATAATAAAAGGGCTAAGGAGAAGGTGGATTTTTTTTTAATTATTGGTGGGTTTTTTTGTTTGTTTGGTTGGGTTTTTTTGTGGTTTTGTTTTTGTTTTTGTTTTTGTTTTTTATTTTGGTGGAGGAGGAGATGTGTCCAGTTGAAAGACTATTAATGTCAATTGAAACAGTTTATAAGATTTTAAAGAATATTTTGTAAGTATTCTGAAAACAAGTCTGAGCAATTTTTTCTGTTACATGATCTAGTAATTCTTAACAGTCATGTTTTCAAGAGCTAAATGACAAAATTAAATTATGAACACTGTAAGTATAAACCAGTTGCTAAACTTTATGAATAACTCAGTTTAAATACTCTGGGTAATCAAATATAATTGTCCTAGTGAAAGATTTTGGTGGAACTGTTAATACACCAAGAAGCAATGCTCATCAGTGTTTAATGTATAGACACTTTTCCTGAGAGTGTACTTGGCAACCATTAAGTCCATACTAGTCCATACTATAAGTTTAAAACTTAAACAAATAAAATGTGTAGTAGATTCTTTGCATGGACTTGTCCAGAGTACATAAATGCCATGTTCAATATTTATAACGTGTATTGTATATTACCAGATGAAAAAGAGAAGAACTAGGGAAAACTTTGGGATTAATAAGGGCTATCATAGATGAAGCTGCCAAAAACCACTTGTGATAAATTGAAGATTAATTCTGACAAAGCTAAGTAAGAAAATGCTTTACATGGCAAATAAAAGGTCTGAAGAGAAGAAGTGAATGTTTTGGACATTCTTTTGGAAGAGTATAACAAAAAGCAGAAAGATCCATTAAGCAATGACATAATATAAGGTTTGTGAAAGTATTAAGAGAGTATTAATAATTCATTGATCAGCCTTCTCAGCAGAAGTTCTTTCCATAACAAAACATTATAATTATTAAATAGTAACATGAAGACCAGCTAACCAAGCTTGTGAAAGTAGAAACTAATGAAGGAGTATGGAGTTGGAGCTATGAATTCCAGAAAGTGTTACAATTTTTTTTTCGTAAAAAAGCATTAGCAGAAATGATAAAGCAATTGAAGATTATTGTAATGATCTTAAGGGAGACTATGGAAGAATGTATGGGATGAGCTGAATAGCTCAGTGAAAAAAAATCTGCTGTAAAGGAGTAACAATAGCATGAAGTGACAATTACACTGCCTCCCTGATAGCACACCTATTTAAATCCTGTCCTATGTAACTCAGTATTGCATGGAATGGAAGATAGAAACAGAAATTTTGTCAAGAATCTTATCAAGATTACAAAGTGATTAGGGGATGTGTGACTCTGTAAATATCTGAACAACAAGAAAGCAAATGTCTAGGATCTCTGTAAATAAGCATTCCAAACTACACAGGGTTTTCAATGCCTACGGAGTTATATATAAAATGTTATATTTGGGAAGCAGAAGCCTGGGGTTTTTTACATCTGAAACAGGGTTTTTTACACCTTCAAAAATAAAGTTTAGGATTTAAAGTGTAGCTAGACAATTTTATTGAGTATTTAATCCAAATTTAATATGGATAATCAATTTGAATTACCTTCCGTTGAGAAAGAAGTTCCAGACAATTAGGAAAATTCTAAAACTACAGAACCTGACAGCCAACATGGACAATATTTCAGTTGTCATGATTTCATTTCCTGGATGGTGAATGTTCTTTTCACATCAGAAACAGTTGCTACAGGTAGCTGTTTTATTGGCCTTTTTATTTTTATCAAGAAATGATTGAGTTTATCTTTTTCTTCTAGCAAAACAATCCTAATTCTTAAATAACCTACTATGGTATTTAAGTATAGTTACCTTTCTAAGTGTCTCCTAATTTCTAACCTTTATTGCTTTTGCCAGAGTTTGAGGCCATTAATTCCTCTACCTTTTCCAGAAAAGAACTTTTCTGGTTCCTTTTTGCAACAACTTTGTATGTAGAAGATGACCTGTATATGTATCACTTTGCTCTCAGTCTGTTCTTTTTTAAGTGAACCAACATATATTATTTCAATCTTTCCTCACACCATTTTGTAGAACTTGGTTCATGTTTCTCCTGAACTGCAGTATTCAAAACTGAATGGAATAAAGCAACTGAAACATTAATAGTGTCAAAGACATAAAATGATAAGATTAATTTTGATGGGAAGGGACCACTTTGTTTACTCCAGTCCCAACTCCTACTCAAAGCAGATCTAAGTAGCTCATCTTTTTTACTCAATTAATGATGTGATATTGTTGAATCTAGTAATGACCCCCTATAATGTCTAGAACTTAATTATATAGATTTGCTACCTAGTCAACTCTTTCTTCCTGAATTTCTGCAATTTATTATTCAATTGAAGTGTGGAAATATTGCTTAAATTCTTTTAAATATCAATGTTTTTTAAATTACTCTTCTATTTTCTGAAACCTACCATTTTGAATTCTGATCCTGCCCAACTGTAGAGTGAATATATATTCAATTAGCTTATTTTCTGTTCAAATATAAGTGCAAATATTTAACTGTACTCTATAAAGGAAAACCACTTATTATAACTTTCCAGATTGATCATAAATCTCTTTCAATGAAGTACACATTTCTGGACAGTCAAATTTTCTTAATACTTTTAGGATGAACAAGTTGACTTTGTGTATAGCTTGACATGATGACTTTCCTCAACTTCTTCCTTTCTCCATATTCTCTTAGCTTTATGTTCCCACAATTAATGAAATAGTTTTATAATTTGCTTAGGATAAAAATACCATTTTTCTAAAAATTTCATTAATCAGTCTACAATTTCATAGCCTTCTTTTCTCCAATTTGTGAAAGTTTTTGGATTGGGAAGAGTTTAAAGATAAGCCTTTTACAGTCTCCTTGAAGCCTCCATTAATTCTTAAGGAGATTTCTTAATAGATGTGAAATTGCTAAAACCACTTGTTCTGAGAATTCATCAGGTCCAAACTTACTGAAAATACTTAAATATAAAGATCTCACTGAAGTTCTCTTAAAAAATTTCCCTATTTTAGTCTAAACACTTTTACAGTATTTCTTGTGTTAATTTTGCACAATCTGATCAGCATTGGCCCTTTCAGAGAAGACAGGCACAGGAAAATATCAAACTGTTTGTAATGTCTTTTCATGATTTTCTCTTCCTGCTGGGCAACAAATAAATGAATTCCTAGAATTTTCTTTTATCCTTGCTTCTAGAATGTCATTTTTTTATCCTTAATATTGATTGTGTTGTATTTTTTGCTTTGGCATTTTTGCATTTGTCCTCGCATTAGTTTTATGTTATATTGATTTTCTGTTTGTCCTTCACATTCTGAGTTACATTTCACTTCCTCATACATCTTTTTCTGAGTTTCAGTTTGTTGAAGAATTCATGTTTGACTCTTGTTGGTTCTTTTTCTACGCTTTCTGTGTTTTGTCTGAGCATAGCTTCTCTTTAGCCAGTACTTTGCTTTCTTTAAGGAATTATCATTTCACCTGAAAACCTGTTTTCTTTACAATAGCTTTCTATGAGATATTTCATATCATTTGTCTGAGTTTATTAACAACTATTTTCATACATAGTTTTTGTTCTGATAATGTTTCTGCTTCTAAAGAATTATTCAATGATCCTTGTCATTTAAATGTCTTTAAACTTTTGAGTTTTCAGTCAGGTCTTTGTTCTTGTCAGTACTACATCTAGAAGAGCTCTCCTGAAGTAATTTGCCTATGTATTATTTGAAATCTTTTTGTCAAAACATCCTAGTAATTTCTCTGGAGAATTTATTTCATGTTGTATTCCTTATTAATTGTATGTAAAAATTCTTTATTTTGATAAATGTTATTTCTTCCCATAATTATGAATGTTCTGCCAGTCATTATAATTTTTGCTATTCTGTTTGCACATTGCTTCATGAAAAAAAACTGCCACTGTAGTTTTTATTAAACAAAAAGTTAAGTATTTTAAGAAAAGAAATTCAATTTTCATGGAATATATATCATAGAATTTGCTTTTTGAGTTAATTTTTTCTGGTTTTGCTGCAGTCTTGTAAATGAGAGCCTATAACTCACAGTAACAGAACACTGACTTTTTTAGACCCTGTGGGTTTTCAATACTTTTCAAAACACTGAGAAAACGAAGTCCTTGTTTAAGGAAATATGTAAAAACTGTTACTTCAAGCTTGATGTTTTTGGTTTGAATTATTTTTTTTTTCAGTTGCCAAATACATTTTTTTCTGCATTTTAAGTGGCTTACAATGTCCATCCAAACAAAGCACTTGATGTTAATGTATAATATAACTTGTTAAGGAGCATATTTAAATTTAGTGTTTATATTAATTCATTGAGGATATTTCAATGGTGTTTGCAGTATTGTTTTTTCAAATAAAAATGATAAAGAGGGTCTTCTGACTAACTTCACTGTGAAGATAAAGACTTGAAACAGTTATAATCAAAAGCTAAAAGGATTCTACTTTTCATTTTAATTCTTTGTCCAGGGAGTGGTGTCATGACAGTGCACTACTGTAGGCTAAAAAGAAAAGAAAGGTGTGGTGAAACTCATTATCCATTCTGTCTTTTAAATTTTGACAGGAAGAGCCATATGTTATGTTCAAGAAGTCTGACAAACCCTTGTATGGAAATGATCGATTTGAAGGTTATTGCATTGACCTCCTCAGGGAGCTGTCTACTATTCTTGGGTTTTCTTATGAGATTAGACTGGTAGAGGATGGAAAATATGGAGCCCAGGAAGATTCCAGCGGACAGTGGAACGGAATGGTTCGTGAACTAATTGATCATGTAAGTAAACTTTTGGAAGCTTTCTACTATCCATTTAGACTTCAATTCTATCTATACAAATTGTAAAACTTTTATGATAATGCCTTTTGTATAGTACTGTTTTGGAAAATGCAGATGCTTAAAATATTAATGCAAGTAGATCCACATCAGTGGTTTCTATAATGTAAAATTTGTTAAATGAAGACTATTCTGCATCTCTATTTTGTTTATAGCCAGTGTTTTTTTCTGCTAAACTGGCTTAGCTCTTCTGTGGCATATGCCTTAGGCAAAATATGGAATAAATGCTACTCAGAGTTTGCTTCTGAGAATAAATATATGGGGGTTTTTTTGAGACAAAACATACTTCTTCATTAATCAATAGAAGTTAGAACTCCTCTTCTGATAGTGGATCTGACTTTGTCTTTAAGAAGTTTCTGTGTATGTAGTATGAACACATGAATTATTTGATATATACAAAGAAGAGGAACATCTTTCTTGAAACATTGACAATAAAGTGCAAGCAGTAAGACAAAAATACCAACATATACTGAAGCAGGAAAGTAATGCAAAGTGTGTTGAAACAGCTACTATTACAATTATTTGTAAATGAGTAAGGTAGAAATTACTTTGTGTAAAGCATGCATTCCTAGTTGGTCATGTCAGTTGAATTCAGTTTCAGAAACATTTTAGTCAATTTGAAAATTATGTCGTTGTCCCTTTTTGCATTTATTTGGGAAGATTGATCATTGTCATTTAAAATAGGAAGAATGGGAGAATATTTTATAACTAATTCAAGTGAAACCTCTAAATGATGGCAGAAACTGCATGAATAACTTGAACAAAAATATTCACTAATCTTGTTTCAGTTTGCTTAAAGATTTCAGCAGATGGACAGAACATGTGCTAATCAAAATATTCATATTTACTAGAAGGGTTTTTATCTTTGTGCTTTTCTAGTAAATAATATTCTGGTATTGTTGTTGCAACAGATGTTGATTATGCCTAGCTTCACACTTTTAACAAGAATTTGTGGGAGTATTGTATTTATATTATCTTTAAATGTGTGTATGTATTATACCTAGTACACATACATAGAAAACAAACAGATATTTAGCAAAGCTCGCTGTCCATCTCTGTAGATATGTATTTTCACATGTGTGTAAATGCCTAGGCATGCATAACTTGTAGATTTGATAGTTGTTAGGTAGCATCATCATCTGGAACTAATTTTCCATGACTAAGTTGAATATTTTGGAAGTAATTCTTATATAATTCTTCAGAAGCAAAGAAATAAATCACATTTTGGTATGCTTTTATCATTCAGCCCTAAAGCTCTCTTGAACAAGCACTAGTATGGCCTCGTAAGTTTTTCACTAAGATGATCTTGAAATAAAATGCATTTGAAGAAGTTACAGCAGCAAAAGTATGTGTAACAGGAGCTTTTCCAGTCCTTTCTTCTTGATAACATGGAATGGAACATGTTTTCCTTTTTCTCATGCATAACATATAACTAATTTTAGATTAAATTTTATTTTGGCTTTTGATATGATGCTTACTTAGGAGTCAAAAAAGTCTAGCTACTATGCTTAGTGCATTATGGAAGATGTAGTCAAACTTCTTAACCTGGATCATAGCTTTTACTTGTGTATCTCAATTCCTCAATTGTTAAATTTTTCCTTCAAAATTTTATCTGGTTTTATGTATTCTTTGGTAATCTACTTGAATACATGCAATTTATTTATAACCTGTGCACTTTATTTGCATGCATGTTGTTGGTACATTTATCACCAAACAACACTTTAGACCTCAGAGCTGATGCCCAAGAATTTAGAGAAGAGTTTCAAATAGTTACGACATTTAGTGTTTCTATGTGGTTAGTACTTCACTTGGACCATTAGCTTAGAATTTTGGTCTTTCTTTTCACTTAGAGAATATTTTTAAACTGTCAAAAAGGTTTTCTTTTGTATAAAGTAGTGTAATAAACTGAATTACAGCAATCTGGACATCCATAAATCCATGGGT